GCTTTGTGCGGGTGCCCGCGACGGGCTCGGCGGGGCAGAGCGGGGAGCTAGCTGCTGGAGGAAGGGCTGAGCACCGCTTCGAGCAGCAGCTGTGCATAGGAATGAAGTAGCGAGGGAAACGTGTGGGGGACGATGACAACAAAAACTGAGACTTTCCATTTGTTGAAAAGTCTCTTGGAGTTATTGAAACTGCAGTGACCTACTGCTGCGTGACAGAGTTTATAGAAGGTGTAACTTGACACTTGGATTTGAAAACTGTCCAGGCGTACAGTACAGTTAAGGTTCTACATACGTTCTCAAGTTCCGATTGTATGTTAATTTTTATTTCTGTTGGAAGTTTCATAACTTAGAATTCAAGTACCTTTCAGCAAACTTTGTGGTTTTGCAGTTCCCAGTACGCTGATGCATGAAAAGGATGTGTAGTATATACTTGTGTAAGCAGGCGATGTTATTAGAAAGACCTTTGATGTCCGAGTTCGTAACAAGTCTTACCCTGATGTAGATGTTCTTAAGATTCGCAGCATACTTGTCAAAAGCAATGGTGAGTCAGCTCATTCATTATCCACTGAAGTATGGAGGAAAAAAAGTACAAAATGTGTGAATTACGAGTTCAGCTGCTATTCTGCACTTTTTTTTTTTAGATTTACAGTGATATTTTTAATCTGGTTAATGAAATAAGTTTAATATACTAATGCTGTTTGCTTTACTGATTGAAAGTTTAGGAGACTTTACTGTAATTGGATGGGAAGTCAGACTCAGGTTCTGATAATGTGCATTAGCTGTACTTATTTTGGATATTCAAGCTGTTGTAGACCATGTGTAGCTCACAGAATTCATGCTTTTCCAATAATACTCTAAATAGAAAAGGTTACTGAGGATATTGTACTCCCTCTTCAGACATTTCAATTAGAGCCTGAATGCTTATATATTAACATCCTTAATGCTCTAAGTGATTATATTGCTTGAATGCTTATCAAGTATTTTGCAAATCTAAATATTTAAAAATAGGGACACAAAATCAGTCTGGCTGGTCACTTATTTTATCTTATCATTCACTAAGTTTTGCATTGTTATAAATAGTCTAAATAATTTTAAAAAAACATAAAAACAAAGAAACTCCAGCTTATGATAGTGAGCCAGTTATTTCCTGAGTGAAATTGATTTTTGTATTGTAAACCCTCAGAACAGCTTGTGCTGAAAAGGTAGAAGGAATCAAAACTGGAGCACAGTGCATACTTTGTGCGTTTAAACTGCTGAGGTAGAACAGCTGATAGTAAAGATACCCTCCTAAGTGATGCTGTACGTTTCCATGCACATGCTGTAGATAGTTACCCTGCTTCTTGAAACCTCTAAATCTTTAGGAGCTACCACTGAAGTGTGTTTTGTAGAAGTGCAAGTGTTCCCTGGAAAAAGGGGAACCGTGAGCAGAGCGAAGGAAAAAGGTCAGCAGCCTGGGAAGTGAGTGGGATAGCATATGTTAAACAATTATATTAACAAAGAAAATGATTTTGTGCCTGACTAGTGGTGAACAGTAATATGAGATTCAGCGTCTGAGCAGCCTTGGTGACGTTGGGAGTCTTAGTTGTGAGTTACCCTGATTTTTTTCTGGAACTGTTTGAGTGAGCGTGTATTGTGCGTGTTTGTCCCTGGGATGAGAGACTATTGAGATGAATGCCTGGAGTAATTAGAAAGGATTAAATAAGTAAACTGTAAGTAATTAGTTCAAGGAAAATGTGATTATACTGTCAGTAAAAAGTCATTTACTTGAACTTTCTTAAATCAAATGAAAAATGCGTGCTGGCTTGTGTTTGTAGATTTTTACGGTTTCCCTGTTTTCACCTTCCACCACATATGCCATGCTGCTGTGTATTGAACTGATGCAAGTGTGGGATCATACAACTTTTGGGGGGAACTTTTTATATGACATTTTTATTCCTCTTTAAGAACTTCTGCTTTAGAAACTTATTTCTAAAAGTGTGGATGAAATTGGAGGTCCTCCAACTTAAGAGGAAAAGCTAGGCTGAAAATAGTGACTACTGTGTTTTTATGCAGGTGAGTAAATATTGTATATTAATCTTGTCCTAAAGATTTGCAGCAACTTGGAAGTGTTACAGTTATAAATAGCAGTAGTAGTTCTTCATATATAGCTCTTGCAGGGGCATGTGCTGCAGCAAGTGGGCACTGATAAGCTTGTGCAGGAGTGCCCAGTTCTTTTCAGCCTAGCGATACAGTTTGTTATTTAATAAGATTACAGGGCCCAAATTAATAGTTTTGGTATGAACTGTCTAACCAGTGGAATGGAAATGAAATCTGCCGGTAACTCAACTCCTTAGGATTTCCTGTGTCGTGAGGGAGTTCCCCCAAAGCGTAGAGCCCTACGCGTCCAGCGCTTACATGTCTCTCCCTGCCGCTCAGGCACCGAGAAGTGCCCAAAGCACCCTGTGCTTCCTGCAGGTCCTGGCCAGCTGGTAGAAGATGGAGTGGCCGCCAGACTGTTGCAACTTGTGCTGTGGCAGAAAACCAGGGAATTATAATTGATTGTTGGTTGTCTCTTCCCTATCTCCCTCTTTCCTTGGGTGGCCTTGCTAGCAAGACAACCTAGTATTGC